TGCTGGAACTGTTGCTGCTGAATCTGTTTCTGCTGCTGGAACTGTTGCTGCTGAATCTGTTGCTGTTGCTGGAACTGTTGAATCTGGAATTGCTGGTTGTGCTGTTGCTGTGGTTGACTGTATTGCTGATGTTGCTGGTATTGCCTCTGTTGCTGTTGTTTGACACTGTTCCCTCCCTCAGATGGCAGTGAAGGAACAGTGGGTATGGGCACTGGGATGGGCATCTGGCCTGGGACAATCTGGTAGTATGGGGAGGAGGAGGGTGGTAAAGCACTAAGGCTCTGGGTGGAGGTGCAGAGTTTACTGTGACCTAAACCTACAGAAGAGGGCACTTTGAAAACGTTCTCATCGCTTCCGTTGGTTCCGCCGAGGGGTTTGAGTGGAACCTGCGGGGTGGAGATGGGGATGGGAACCCCACCACTGATTGTTCCTCTGCGAAAAGGCGGCTTAGATGAAGGTTTGCGCCTGATGGTTGCCGTGTGGGATGGCATCTGGCGGTTAGACACACCACTCAAGTCGGACTCAGCCAATAGGCTGACAGTAGAGGCAGGACGCTTGGAGTGGATGAAATCCCGGTACTGGAATCTGAGGTCGGAGTTTCTCGGGATGGTTGATGACTTGTCGAAATCTGACTGGCTGTTGCCGTGGGAGAGGTGATGTAAGGAGATAGAGTCAGTGTCTCCGTGGAGAGAGATGGACTCATAGTCGACTGCAGAGATGGGGAGAGAATGTTAAAATGTTAGTTGCTCTGCTTTCAGGCAGACCTTTCATTACCTCTGGATTATCTCAGTGACATTTTTTTTTTTTTTTTTTGTAAAGGGTTCTCATCTGCTCACCTGACAGACAAACAACAGAAGCAGCAGGAGCACATAATCACATCAGTGACTCACTGTCATGTTTGTGAATGAACAATTAGGGGATGCATCATTGTGGAAACTCTTATCAAACAAAAACAGGGCAACATGCAACCTAATTACTTTTAAAACGCATGCAAAACTCCAGTTCAATGTTCCAAATAATAAGGTTAAAAACAGACGTCAATTCATGGCAACGACATTAAATTTGAAAAGGTCAAACACACACACAGACACACACAGGAGGAAGTAAATTACAGACAAAGCAGCTGAATTTGTTTCTAATGTTCTGTTTGTTTTGGGTTCCAAAATTAAGTAAAAAAAAAAAAGGGACTACGTAATTTAAATGCTTCTGGCAGCTTCTCATCTGCTAGCATCAACACCAGAAATATGAAATGTGAGTAATTAATGTCTTCTCTTTGCAAGCAAGTGTGATGGGAGAAACCTCAGTCTCCTATAAGCTGGGTAACTAAGCTAAAAAAATATATAAATAAATAAATTCCATACCTGGATTAACGTTGTATCCAAAAATGTATTAATTAACTTAATGGGTAAAATAAACAATGTCAGCTTGTCCGCCTGATGCCCTCACAGCAGTGTCACAAGATTTAGCCAATTTTTACATCACTTTATACTTTGATACAAAAGGAGCTTTATTTATTTATCTATTTATTTATTTTAAAGGATCTGCTGGGTAAGCAAGAAGTGACTATCCAGAGAAGTGTTGCCTCCTGGGCACCATGCTTCACAAGTGAATCATCGATAATTTGCTGATGTTTAAAATCGCAGTCCTGAAGCCTAGAAAATGCTTATGTTTTGTAACACTAACACTGTAAAATTGAGAACAGAGATTTTATTTTCCTTGTGCTTGATAACCGAGATAACAGGAGGAAACTGCAGCCACTAATGATTAGGTTATTAAAATTGGCCATACAAGTGCCCTGACAGGCACCAAAATTAATAATTTTATCGTTGCCAAAAAGATTCTAATATTTGAAAATTAGGACAACGTTTATTGCTTCTTTTAAATAAACAGTGCTCTTTCAGCTGATGTAAGATCTTTAATAGATGGACCAAAAGTAGATTTGATGGTATGTTGGACGTGACATAAGCAGACAGGCAGGCAGATATACAGGCAGTCAGAGACCTACCATAGATAGGAGGATCTCTCTTTACAGCTGGAAGAGAAGGAAGGCAGTTTAACCAAGAAAACACAAAACTACTCAAAGAAATACAACAGGAAAAGAAGTAAAGATGAGCTGATACACCAGAAAAGCACAGAAAAAACAAGTGAACAGCAGGCAGGTCAAGAGAGTCAGTTTCACTGTCAGAAATCAGAAATGACACCCACTAAAGGGTAAATCCGAGAAATTCAGCCAGACAAGCAGCAATTCACACCAAGGTTATGGCTCCGTGAGAGAATGGGTTTCCATTTTCATAATAAACACAACATCTAATTGCTTTATTGTTGGCGGTGCTGCTGCCACTTTAGGTTGTATTTGGATCACATGATGTTTGTCTCGGCCACATAGTTGGTTCAAACAGCTTTTAATCAAGAGCTCAATTCGATTTTCTATTATCTCTAGGACAAAAAAAACAGCAACAAAAAAATCCTAACAGCACAGCGAGCTGTGTTTAGTATAAATAAAAAGAAGTGTTGTGCTTTAATGTACTCACTGTGGGTGTGTATAGTGTCCTCGGAGCAGGACGGGGTGGTTGTTTGGGTGCTATAGCCGCTGGAACAGTGCAGAGAATCTCTGCTGCTTCTCGGGGCGTCAGAATTCAGCGCACCCAGTGACAATGCCAGCTGATCCTGGGCCAAGCAGTGCTAAAGGAGTGAAAGAAGGAGACGGATGAGGTTACAACTTTTCAACTAACAAAAGATCTATATACTCCCGCAAGATCATGCTTTGCATTCACTGTTGACCATCCAGCGGTCAAAGCTTCTGTCCAAAGTGACATCTGCAAAACTTTTGTCAAGCTTTTGAAAGTGTGGTTGGAGGACAGGGGGTGTTTGTGCTATTTTATGTAAATATTTTAAACGTATTCAGCATTAATTTTTAGCAACCCTTTTATTTATTTATTTATTTTTTATAATAAACTACTTTGGATTGAAAAGTGCTATAAAAATAAAATTCAATAGCAGAAATAGGACAGAAAGGCGTTTTCTTGGCTCATAATCGGCCTTCAGGATTGTGACGAGGTAAATAAGCACAATATAGTAAAGGCAGTGCATTTAGATCATAATCATGAATAAAAATACGTTTTATTTAACGTTTCATTTTTTAAAGTGTTAACATTCTGTAAATGTTTTCATTATTTCCAGCCAAAACAACTTGAGACACCAAAAATTGCTCTATGGAGGAAAATCCCTGTAAAAGAGCTTTTGCATATGATCAACCTAGCTAACAAACAAAGCTAACAAAGTGGCTCACAACTTTGTTAGTTTTGAGACTTTTTAATAATCTATGCTCGTCCTCTGCCTCCTGCTGGGTTATCAATATGCCTGCATGTTCAGGGCTCCAGGTAAAATAAGTTCAGGTGTCTTTTAATTCATAAAGTCAATTAGTGATGAATGTAATTTGAGTATTTGGAACAAGTTTTTTTATTTATTTATTTTTTTGCTTTAGAGAAAAACCACAGAAGCAGCCCGCTCTGAATGTCATCTTTGTAGTTTTAACTCCATGACTGTCAGACTCAGAACATCACCTGTGCGTTTAACCACAGGATGTTTGCACAAGAACCACCAACCACCTTTTAGAGCCTGTTTAGCACCAAAAACACCAGTTCACCACAAGGATCTGTATGCTGGCTGAGAACATCAACTGTGACAATTTCACACAGATGAAATACAAAGAACTTCTCTTTTTTCCCCCGAAGCACTTAAACTGTCACAGTGGAGTGCCGTAACAGCACCTCCTGGTTCTTCCTGTCACTCCCTGAAAGCAGGAAGCAAGAACATGGGAGGACAAAGAAAAGGAGGAAAGCAAAACAGACAAGGTACTGATAACAGTAGAAAGAAACAAAAGAGAAGAGGAGCCGCCATAAGATTAGGGGTGCAGATCATTTTAGTCCTCTGATCTCCTGCTACCCTCTGGTGGATGATTTGGCTATTTTAAAGATCCAATTCCGCTGTTTTTGAACTCTATAATATACCATTGAAAATACACTTGCATGCATTTTCTGACTTTTATTTATTATGTTTTGTTTTAATAAACAGTTTTTCTTAGTTCATAGACTGGATCAGTAAACAAAAAATACAAACGTAAAATAAACTCGTGTCTTCAGGGATGTTTAGTACAGCATTATTTTACTTTAATATTTATCATTAGTTTTGATTTTTAATTCGTTCTCGTGAATTTTTTTTGTTACAGTTCCATTTCATTTCAGCAATTTCCACAGTGGTTTTTCTCATTTTAATTCAGCTGTTATTAGTTTGTGGGTTTTTTGTTGTTTTATTTAAACAGAAATTTCAATACATTCATGTATTGTTTTGTATTTTTCTTTTAATTTCTATTTAGCTTTTTATTAGTTTTTCACTTTAGTGTTGTTTGTTTGCTGCTACAGCTTTGATGTTTAAAAATGTTTAATATTTTGGGTTTTTGTTTTAACATTTGTGTTGTGAGTGTTGCAGGTTTACATTATAATACACAAACAACCCTCCCAGTCTCAATAAAGATGGCATCAATTCCTTCCGTATGCTTTCCAAGCAAACACAGTTTGTTTGTTGTTTTTTAAATTATTTTAGACAGCACACAAATACTGTTTCAGTTAGTTTCATGTAGACTGAAAGATACAGATGAGATTTTACAAGAACAATCACCAGAATCCAAATATGCTTTCTGTGGGTTTTACCTTTCCAGATGCAGACATGGCGCGAGCGCGCTCTCCATGTATGTAGGCATTGTGTGGAGGGGCCAAGAGGCCGTTCTCCGCCCCTCCAGTTCCCCCAGAGGCCAGCTGATTGGTGGACCCAACTGAATCCTGTCATTAAGAAACCAAGTCAGAGCGGATCAAAGGTACAAATCATCAAATGTAGAATCACAAATCAACCGCAGAGAGTACAGAGAGTATAGTTCTGTTCAGCCATCATAAAAGTCTCTGGTGGAAAGAAATTGACAGAATATACATTTGTAATAAAAGCTTGTAACTTACATCCATGTCAGCACAGCCATCAGTTTTAATCAGATGTGTAAGAAACAAGCTCTATTTTCTATATATCAGACTTGCATAATGGCTGCTGATGTTAGACCATCAACACGACATGTTAGCAGTTCAGCCAGCGTTTTACTGAGAGAAACATCACACAGAAAATACTTATTTGTCATTTTAAAAATATCAATAAAAGTTCCTCATTCAACAGCAACATGAACCCTTAATGATTTTGTTCTTTCTCACGTAATTTTGAGATAATTTCCTCAATTTTAAACATAAACTTACATTTTTATTACAGGACGACTGACAAGACACCACTGACAGCAATAATGACACCAGCTTAAAAGGCCATTACGCCAAAATTCAAGAACAGAAAGGGCGACTTAGCGGCAGGAGACAAATAACAGGTACTTGAGATAAGGAGAAGGCTTGCTTTTGAGGTGGGATGAAGCAATCGTGTTATTTATTAAATAACAGTGTTAACAAGGAAAACAGTAAAATAAATATGTCACGTTTGGCTTTGTGTAAAGCCATTAGTGGATGGGTTTGATTTTTTTTTCTTTCTTTTTTTAAATAAAACAAATTATTACATTCACTGCTACTGAAAATAAGGAGTGGGATGTTATGAATCTTTTAAATGTCCAGGTGATCGTATATCAAAAATATATCATGGGCAGTTTTTTAGAATTCCTAATCCAAAAATCCAACATCAACTAAGCTAAAATGACCACAGCATTTCCAGCTAAACTCCTGGCTTAGAGAAAGCAGTCAGAGAAGAGACCTTTTTTGTGCTCCTGAGAGCTTGACCTTAAAAAAAACAAAACTCTAAAGAAGTGTCATTTTGAGTCTGAAAGCTATCAAGAAAAGTAAGGGGTTTTTTTTTTAATTGAATATTAGTACAGTACTTAACTGTAACACATAAATCTGAAACATAAGCATAAAAAAGTTGACACAAAACCACTTTTAAAGAGAATAAAAAAAAGAAAAGACACTGATAAATAAACAAATACTGCAAATACTCACAATTACAGTCCCTAGAACTGTACTTGTGAAAGCTCAGAAACATTTTTTATGGAATGGGATCAAGAATTACGTCTAAAATTACAACAAAATGGATTTGAGATATGAGATCCATCCTGGGACACTGAGGGTGGAGGAGGCCCTAGACAATTAAAGGTGAAACTGAAGGTGTGAGCTGATGAAAAAATGTGGAATTAAAAAAAAACAAAAGAGGTAAAATAGCTGGAGCCAATGTGACATTGAAACCAGATTCACACCAATGGAAGACAAAAGGGTCAAAATCACAGGACGGCACTCGGGTGGTCGGGAGGAATGTAATAGTTATATAGTTTTTTCCTCACAGTTTTCAAATCCCTGCGGCTAAAGCGGCGACTCTGAGCGGGGCGGTGGCCATAGCCAGCTGCGTAACCATAGCGACCACGGCTGCCGTGACGGCCGAGGCGAGAGGGGGAGTTCCCTTCGCTGAGAGATCGACCGCTTTCATCGCAGCCGGTGAGCAGATAAGGGGAGGAGCAGCGCTACACACAGGAAAGGGTTAGAGTGGCATGTGTTTGTTTTTGTTGTTACTGTTACAAGCTTTTATTTTGAAGATCCTTAAAGCTGACAGTGTCATTTTAAAATGTGGATGAAGCCTGAAGAATGTGGAGTGTACAGCATTGCAGGAATGGTATATTTAAGTGAAATGCACCTTTAAAGATATTGAAAATATTTGACCAGAATTTGCTTTATTTATTGCGGAAATTTGATTTAAAACTATAAAGTATATAAGTTTGAATGAAATAAGAGTATCTTAATATCACTGATGTACAGTATATGGCTAGAAATCAATGGACAGCCCCAAATGCTACACTTGTGATTTCTGGGCATTAATCTGCTGCTAACATTTGCCCACATTTGTTCCCATTCAGCCAGAAAGGTTTTAAAGTCCAACAATGAGGTTGGGGGATCTGGCCTAAAGCTGAGCGCACACACACAACTGTCAGGCTGATTTTAAATGCACTTTGGAAGCGTCGGCCATAAGCTATTTAAGAAAGATGGACATAACCACCGTGCCCTCAGCTATATTTTGCATTTTGAACTGTCAGTACAGCATTTTTGGTGCTGCCATTTTACATATATACACCTTTTTTAGCCAAATGTTAAAATATTTGGACAAGAGGATGAAGTGATTCTCTGTTAACGTTAGCAAGCACAGTATGGATGCAGTGCAGAAAGTTCATTTGAATTAGAAGGAAGTTGCTTTCTACAATTATATAATAAAGATTTACCGTTACTGTCCTGGAAATAAAAAAACTGAGCTAAAAGACACAGGAGTGTGTGAAAAGGGATGACCATGTACTTTTGGCCACATAGTGTAAAATATATTCTTAACAGTATTTTTGAGAACAACAGAAATAAAATTGTTGTAACAAAGGTTAAAAAGTGCGTTACCTGCATGTGTAGTCCATCCACAGCACAGCTGATAGAGTCCAAAGAGGGAACATGTCTCACTGATCCTGACTGGTAGCTATGAGGCCAAGACACAGAAATTAAGAAATGAAGAAAGAAAGAAAGAAAAAAAAGCAGCGACTGTCTGGAATGTGAAAATCACATAATAAAGAACTTATTTAAGAATTAAAAGCCATAAACACAACAAAGTGAAAGAGGAATGAAGTTGCTGCTATAAGCTCAGTGAAAGTTTGAAATGGAGCCGAAAGCCAGTAATATAACACGCTTTGTTGTGATTGTCTGTTTACACTCTCATCCTGGACATCTCGAGTTATCACCTCTGCAGAACGTGCACACTCTCATGTGCGTCAGTCATAAAAAGGCACGACTTTATGACTGTAACTGTCCAATCTGACACTTTGATTATCACAACTCAGAAAAATATGTAGTCTGAGCCTGGATTTAACTTTGACTTGCATCAACTTGCACAGAAACAAAGTTTAAGGTGTGATTTTTAAATATAGTGCAGTACACACAGTAAAGTTACAAACACTGTGACAAAACATCAAAATGAAAAGAAAGCAGCAATGCACACTGATATTATTAGAATGTGAAATGAAGTGATATGAAATACTGTATGTTGTAAACTGATATCAGCTTTGGTGTGTAACCCACCTGCTGATGCTGCTCTTCCTGGAGAGAGTGTTACTGGGAGAAGCTGGAGGTGTCTGATAGGTGTAGCTGAAATCAGAACCTTTAAGGTCCAGGATCACCTGTAATACACACAAAAGACAGCTGTGGTGTTTTTCCTTTTATTTTCCAAAGTTGGGATGTTTCTACTGAAGGCATAAAGCTCAGAAATACAGGAAGTGCTGAAGCTGGAACTATATTCAGTGGTGGATTAATACACATTTGCAACTCCAGTGGGTATTACCAGAACCAAGTTAGTTAATGAAAGTGTGGGTCAAAATAAACTACAGCGTGTAGTTTTTCGGACAAAGATGGGTCTTCGCAGATAAACCATGCTTTGCATACATACACAGCACTTTCAGTAGAGCCAATCACTGTTGGTCGTAGTCTTTTTCTGACATTTGCTGAAAATAAGACACAAAATAAAAAAAACAAAACATCATCTGCCTTGAAATTGCTAATGTACTTGGGCGGGGCCTTCCAGGGATATTAACAGCCACCTAAATGTTTCTGGCAGCTTGAGCATTTTTTATAATCTGTCAGAGAAAACAATGTCTTCACTCTTATGTTGAAATTTAAGGTTCTTTTAATCTTTTTCATTCAAGGGGGAAAAATGAAATTTTATTTTTTTTTAATGCAAATTCGTTTATTTTTTGTTTTGTTTTTAAATGACAAGGACCTGCTGATTAAATGGTTTGTCATGCTGGGCTACTTCTTTAGAGAAGCCCCACCTCCATGTGTTGTATTGCTTTGATCTGCAGTAAGCAGAAGAGCCACAAATCATAACCTGTTGCAAAAACTGATCTGTGTGCTGCAACATTAAGTTCAGCAAGGTTGCAGAACAAGAGCTACTGTCAACTTGTCACAGCACTTGGCAATTAAAATATTTGTGGATGAGAGTCTCCCACCACAGAGAATCCAAATCTGGGGAAAACAGAGTAATAGCACTAAAAGGGTAATATTAGGCCTGCAGAGGGTGCTAGAGAAAAACTGAGAGATCAGTAAAGATGGAGAAGATGGTTAAGGTACCTGCTCGCTGGCTGGTGGAAGTTTATTGGGTTCAGCTGTTAAGTTTGTCAGATCTTCCAGAATGGTCTGCAGGTGTGTCACCTCACCCAGCATGTTGATCTCATGGTCCTACAAGACAAGCTCCTTTTATTTTACTTTGCCAGATTAGAAAAGTCTGAAAAAGTCTTGTTCTGTATCCCTCTTTCACACACAGACACACACACAACTGACCAGCACAGGCTTCAGCATGCTGACAAAACTACAGTATCGAGCTCTTTCTTCTATCAGTGCTCTGCACACAGCTCGCTTCTCGGTGTCCTCCAGCACAGCGTAGCGCACATTGACGTCCTGCAGCGCGTTGTCCAATTGTCCCCGAGCTTCATCCTTCCCTAAAACACAAACAGGAGGAACTGATGGTAGATCGGTCCAGATGATAGAAATATATGGAGACAGCAGAAATGTCTGTAGTCCAAAGCAATTCTGATATTTTAGCTTCATGATACAAATCACCAGTATTACACACACACTCCTGGAACAATGATGAGAGGACAAGAGTATGTAGAAGAAAAGGCTCATGATAGAGCCATCGTACAGACGGATGATGGCCCTAAACGTACAGCAAAAGCAACTCAAGAAACCCTTAAGGCAAAGAAATTGACTTCTCCACTTCAGCTCATCTAAAAATGTTTTTCACTGCAGGAAGGAAAAACTGAGGATAAAATTACCACAAACAAGCAGAAACAGAAGGCAGCTGCAGTAAAGATCGTTTTAGTTTTCCAAACACTTTTAAACCTGTGAAAAATGCTATGTTTAAAAACCATCTGTAATTTTGTAACAGTATATACATTTATTTTGTGTAAAACCCATCAAATGAAAGCTGTGAGTCTGCACTTAATTACATTATCACCACAATGTTTCCCACTGTTTAATTTTTATTTGATTCGGCGTTAATTTGTTTTTCGAAAAATGAGGATATTATGCAAATGTCCTGATGCTTGATTACACAACAGTGAAAAAATTCCCACCACGCCATCTGTGGTAAAAACTTTCACAAATCCATCCTTAACTTTTTGATCAACTTTCTACTGCAATATAACAACCAGCTAATGTTAAATCTAAAAATATTTGCTTTTGGTGTATTCATGGTGTGGAGGCAGTTAACCAAAGCAAGTATCACAGTTCTTATAAACAACATTAACATATTAACATTAACATCTCTTCTTTATAATGAGCAATACTGTGTGTGAAGGAAACCACACAGGCTCACAATGTGTTACCCATATGCTACCACCAGAGGGTAGAACAGCACCACATAAAAGCAGTGAAGAGACACATGCAAACACACGCACACACGCAGTCAGCTGTTTGTCACACACCCTGCCCGGCCTTATGTTCAGCGCACACAGAAGGATAAGTGCCTAAAATGTGAAAATTAGTATGGCAATGTAGGATTTCCCAGCTCAGATGAACAAGACTGAGCGTTTTGTCGTTAACAGGCATCTTGCATGCTTAGAATTCCTTCAATAACGTGTCAGTAAAAGGCTCTGAGTAATTGAGGTGCTTTAGAGTGGGATGGAATTTGAGTTTGAGGAAGAGAAACGGACATTGGTTTCCCTTTCTCTGACTCCTTTGATTTGATTTACTACATTGTTTACTGGACTCTATGCCAGCATGTGAACCATACCAGGCTTGTCACATGAGTCATGAGAAGGCCTGAAACCCAGCTCACCACTGCAACAACCTCGAGTCTTTGTTAGACAATAATAGCCTTCACAAAGCTAGCCATGGGACAGTTCAGGAGTGATCTGCCTTGAAGATGATATTTTACAGTTCTGTCATCACCCTTTTAGCTCTTATTCCTCCCTGTAAAGCAGACTGGGTATTATGCTTAGCTGATGCCTAAACCCTGAAACCTTTCTAATGGCCATTAGGGAGCAACTCCTTGTTAGTCCATGACAAAATTACCCTATTGCTCTATAAACTTAGGAAACACTTTCCAGGTGAAACTCTGATCTCAAATGCTGCTTTTGAGTGTTATTAAAACCAAATTATATATATTTTTTACATTATGGTCCTCATTTGACTCACAAAGTAAGATAAAGCAGCTGGCCTCTTATGAGTGTGTAGTATCCCCTAGTTTCTCAATTAGAAAACACCAAGATGGCAACTGTAAAAAAAAAAAAAAAAAAAAAAAAAAAAGTCGGCTTAAAGTTTCACAACAAAACTTCGGTAACTAATGGGTGGCATCATCTTGTCTTAATCTTTGATACAGAGTCTATTCTTTTACACCGCCAGCCATTAGACCTGAAGAGGGCACATTAACTGAGATAAAGTGAGCAAAGGCTTATATATGAACAACTGAATTCAAATATGACACACAAAGTGCTGAATTGTGTTAAATGCCAAGTATTTGGTAGACTGAAATCCTAACGTCCTGAATCCTTGATTCAAAAAGCATAAACTTTTCTCCAAATTTATTCAGTCTGGTGCACTCCAAGGTTCCAATATAAAGATTACATACAAAAAACAATCCATTTAAATGCTGCATCAGCTTTCAGCTAGCTTACAATGTGCCAACTGTATCCTGCACCAGCACACACGGTCATGGCTGTTTTTATGAATATGGACTCGTCACTGACAATCATCAAAATGTAATTTTTGCCATTAAAAAAACCCCAAAAACCAAAACACTCCTGAATACACACTTTTGAGTCAAATAACTTTTTTTTTTCTCACCAGCTCACAGAAGGCTCTGTCTCTTCAGTGAACTGTGATCAAATCCGTTCCCTCATTTCTTTCTTTTCCACTCCAAACTAACAGTCTTCATGCCACACTGACAGGCTGTAGTATAAGGTCAAAGCTGCATAACTAACAGATATTTCCACGCAAGATTCTCAGCGTCTCTCCACTGGAGCCCACAAGTTTCCACATCACACTTCTGTAAGCTGCACACTGGACCTGCTTGTACCTACATGTGCTAAACTCATTTAAGGTGAGTGCAAAGAAACTTTCCCCTTTTCAGCAGACAAACGTAAAAACAGCCTTCTGGTGTCAGAACCGGCACATACGTCATTCTGCTGCGAAGTTCAAACATCCAAGTGGAGAAACAAAAAGCAAAGCACACTTTTGAGACCAAATTCTTCAGGATAATTTTCAGGATTCCCTTAAGAATCTGACCGATTTGTTGCACTAGAAAGATTCTGAAACTGAAGTTAAGCTAAAATCACTTCAGGCAATCTGAAATGGTGTGTAAAAGACATGACTTAAATGTTTTATGGCACCTATAACACATGCTCCATGTGTCGCCACTGTGAGCACAAAGAAAGTCAATGTCAGTGCAAACTGCTCCTCCACAAAATTCAACAGATTTTTGATGTCACCAAAGCAATAAGGATTATTTCTGAACTGTGAATCATTCAATGTTACTGGAGGAGGAGAATGTTACAAAAACATTTCAAAGGATATGGGGGAGAATGTGACAGAGCAGAGATGTAACCAAATGAATTTTAGAAGCAAGTCTTGTCAGTCCAAAGCTCCTGGATGGATTATTTATTTATTTCTTTGTTAAAGGCAAAGGGTCAGTTTAAAAATCTTTTCCACTATAGTCTAGATTTCTACTAGAGATATGTGAAGTCACAGTATGGCTGCATTAAAAGCTCAGTACAAGTGACAACACAATCAGTATCTGTGGCTCATCCCCACAACGCAATGATCTCAAGCCTTTAAATACCCTCAAATTAAGAGGCAACCCCCTACACTGAAAATTGAAGTGGGAAGTCTGCCTCCACAGACTTGAAACTTGTATTAAGCTCTACTTTCCACATGCTTCAGCACAACACACTCTTTGAGAGCAGAGGGAGGTTAACTACCAGGTTTAGTGGTACAGAAAGTCTCTCATAGATTTCCCTTCAGGAATAATTCAGTGCCACTGAGGAATAACAGAGTCTGTAGGTGTAACTGTTTGGTACAGTGTTGTCTGGTCTGAGTCTGGCGGTTCAGACCCACAGGTAGAGAGGACAAACAGAGTTCTGACCTGCAGACCACCCAACTGTGGAAACAACCACTGGATGTAAAAATGAAGTCCAGAGGCGGTGAAAGAAGTTTTCAAAGAATTCAAAGGATCATGTTTTGCAAAGCAGCAGCTTTCATGTTTCATACTCATATTGCTCATATTACAGCTCACAGCCACCTGCAAAATCCCACAAACTGATCCCCGGGCTTATCTGTTCACCAGATTTCTGTTCAACTGTTCTTTAACAAAGCTTGAAATATTTTTCCAGCAAACATGGTGCAAACAAGACCTCTTTCAAACTTCAACAGCGAGAAGTAGGAAAAACAGAGACGGGGACAGCAAGTCCTGTGAAAAACAGTGAGAAGCAATTTCCACAGCCAAACACAAACCCACACACACACTGAAGACTCTGTGCAGACGTTAAGCTCAACCTAAACACAGCCTGTTCCCTCAGGTGTGTGTGAGAGCATGGAGAAGACTGAGGATAATTTCACGTTGCTAACAGAAGCTCAGTGTCCGTGTGTGCTGCTAGTCTGACTTCTAGGCTCTGTGGAAACACACACAAGCTGCTGTTTCTACAAGGCTCCAGCTCAACACCCACAAAAACACAAAGACCTGAACTCAGAAGCTCCATCCTGCAAATTCATGCCGTTAAAGGTGAAACACAGTTCACGCAAAGCTAATTCTCACCAGCTGGGAGACATAATGTAAAAACACCTCATGGATGCTTCCAAATGTAGCTCCAGCTTACCTCAATGCGTTTGAGAATTTGTTCCTGTGGCCATTTTGACATTAATTTTCTCAATCTCTAGATTTTTATGGCTTAACAATGTATAACACACAAACGAAAATGCCTCAGGCAAGCCAAAATCTAACAGAGCTAAACCTAAATTAATTCTACTCAAGTCACACACATGTAACCTGAGAAGTTAATGAGAAGAATCTTTTTCCTCTGGACTGCACTTCCCTGTAATCATCTGTCAGTCAAACAGTATGAGGAAAGAGGTCACTTATCAGTGTGTGGAGCTGCTTCCACACAAGCTGCAGTGAATATTGTCTTTGTAAACTGCAACAGCATGGCTGAATAGTGCATTTTTATTTTTGTACAACAATAAGACTTAATGACACAAAAGAATAGACTAAATCAGGCCCCGAATACATATATAATGCACAGTGGTGGTGCAGCGGTTGCAGTAAATGCAAGGTTAAATAATGAATGATCAGGCCCCATCATATCTTATAGTATCATATTATCTCTGGAGCACTTAACTCTCTAAGTGCAGCCTTGTGGCTCTTATAGTTTGCAAAGTAGAACTAGTTGCAGAGCTTCAGCTATCAGACACCTCTCCTGTGGAACCAGGTCCAAGTCTGGCTTCA